ACTACTGCTGTTGCTGCTGCTTCCACTGCTACAACTACTACTTCTTTTCTTCTTCTACTCCCCTCCTTCTTTTGTTCTCCTTTTTCTTGTTCTTTTCCTTTGTTATCTTCTTTTCTTCCTGCAATTACCCCCTTGATTCATGTGTGTGCGTGTTTTGGGTGTGGGATTAGGATCCTCTAAGTAATCTGTATAAGGCTGTGTGTGAGTTCAAAAAAGAAAACACGTAGCTATTGATTCTGGCTTATTTTGATGCTGAATGTTGGTTTCTCTCCTCTCAGGCCGATGCACTCCGACTTCACACACACACACACAAAACTCCTAACTAGTCGTCTTTTACGACATGTTTGTTACGTGGCAATGGGTCTCTTCTTGTTTCAACCCAAGATGGGGGTCACCGAATCAACCATGAGAGAGTCTGTGTTTGACAACAATAGCATAATGGTCTAGAGTGTTGACCAGATCCCCTGGTGATTCCTAGCTGTACCGTTTTGTCTAGATCCTAATGATCCATTCGCGCCTTTGTATTGTTCACTAGCTTCCAAACGGCCATGACCACATCTAGCTAGTCATACATACATTTACCACCTATGGGTGTAGAACCAGCCAGTATGTCTGCCTGTTGATTTCCCAACATATACCGGAGAAAATATCCAAAGAACGCTAACTACCTGGGACTGAAGCAATGCTTGCCATTCTCCACGGAGCAAGCCTGCCTCCACGTTTCTTAGCATGCTTTGTGAACTGGTTAAAATCACGACATATGTGTGTGTGCGCGCGCGCGTCAGTGTTGCCACTTTGGATGTTTTACATACAGATTTAGATGTTTTCCCTTGCATTAAGATGGCGTTTTTAACGTTTAGATGGTAGATGTTCTTCTATATGTTTTCTTATGGAGTGAATTTATCAAATCTAACCTAAGAAACAGGATGAAATTTGACCTTTTAAATGTTTTTTGACAATAAAATTCGGCCTGATAAGAGTAAGAAAAAGCTGCTCCTCTTATCAGCTCCCTGATAAGGTATTAAAAAACTGGAACAGCTAATGCATACCAGAGTCATTTTGGATCTGAAGCTTCAACTTTATCATCCAATCTAAGTTTATCCTGTGGATCTTGTAAAGCAGACTTCAGTAAAGATGAGGACATGATTCTATAGGGTCAGTCATTTCAATAGCTATGTAATTTGGAACTCTTTCCATTTAGATGTTTTTATTAGATGTTTTCCAAGCAAATTAAGATGTTTTTAGATATTTTTTGACTCCGTTTTGGATGTTTTTGTCAAAGAAATGTGGCAACACTGGCGCGCGCGTGTGTGGGTGTGTGTGTAGGTGTGTATGTGTGTGTGTGTGTGTGCAGTTGTTGTAGTACAATATACTATACTTTATTTCCCATTCTTCCACGCATGTTAACTAAGCCTAGATGTTTTCAATTCACTGGCCCTTTTTCATCTCCGAACTGCCTTTTCATTACACTAAGGTAATTTTTGTGTGTGTGTGTTAACTTAATATTCAATAGATTTACCTGGAGATACCACTTTGGTTAACCGTGTATGTCTGAGCTTGGTCAAAAACCCGGCGTAAGAGAATACCATGATTCCAACGATGACATTGCACACTACACTCGTAACAGTCAGAAATAATATGCCCCTGTGGAAAACATAACTGTGAATTTTTTGCTTCTCTGTGGGCCGTGATATTTCATTTTCGCGTAGGGGACATTTTGAAAAAAGAGTAAGAAGGAGACGGACGAAAACGATCGTTAGAAAGGAAACCCGCTTGTTTGTATACATGTCCGTGATACGCTTGAGCGACTGTTCGGGTGAAAAAGGGATTATTACATACATCATAGACTGGGAGCCGCTTTAGTTTAGCGGCTAGACGTTCGCCGACGGGTCCAAAGGTCTAGATCCCAACCCGATTGGAAGCGAACTTTTTTTTTTTAAATGACTTTGGCTTCCAGCTCGACAGAGCCTGAAGTGGGCACTTAGTAAAGTTCTGTAAAGTAAAGGCTATCAGCCTTATGTTAACTACATCATCCATCAAGAAACGATCAGTCTATAATATATAGGTCTAACCCAATATGCACAATACGCCCAAAGGCGTGGAAAAGGGTCCTTTACTTATTATATGCGTATGAAGATGTTACAAAGTGTCCTTTCCTGATAAAAACATAGACACCATCTGTGGGCCTAATTAATCAAGTAACAGAAAGTCAGCGGTGGAGACGCGGATTCACGACAGGAGACGGTCGACTGGGCTCACACAGCAAACTATAACAATGATAAGGGTAGGCCTAAGTAAGATGTACGCTCCTATAAGCGAAACGTATCTGAAGGCAACTTACGCGTAAGTAAACTAAGCTGTTTGAAGTAAGTACAGTAATAAAAAGGACCATTTTCTACGCCTTCCGGCGTCTTGGGCATATTGGGCTAAACCTTTATGTTATAGACCAGTGGTCAGCATAACACCAGCCGCCTTTACTTCCTAATGCATGTACCTGGTACCCACTCAAGGCTAAATCGATCTGGGATTCAAGGTCGTTTTTGAAAGAAAAAAAAAAGTTCAGCTTCCCACAACTCCACACCACAGCGACTCTTGTTGTTTGAAGTAGATAAATACACATCGTTTTCTTTTGTCAGTTTTTTTTTTGCTTTGTACCCGCTGTGTGTCGCAGTTGAAAGAGCAGCGTTTCTGAAACTTTTTTCGCCGCAGCACCTCTGTCGGGCAACAACAAGCAAAAAAAAAAAAAATCGCGGCACACCTACCCTTAAAGCGGTTTAAATACTTAGGGAGAGAAGTAAAAAAATAGTGAAAAATTAATGTTCAGTTGTTTTCATGTGACAAATGCTACTGTTTGGGTGATTTTTTCATTATTTCCTTTATGTTATGGAAAGTTTACTACATTGTACCAATCACTTAAAGGTTGCTGATGTATCTGTGTTTTTTTTTTTTTTTCAAACGTGCTTTGAGAATGCACTGCAGTCTTGGCAAAGCATTGTTTTATGAATATACCTGTATCTGAAACTCTTCTTGGCTGCCGTCATGGTATTGCTGTTTTAAACTGCTGTCTTCGCTGATGTTAAGCAGATTTTAAAAAATTCTGGATTATTGTCGCGGCACCCCTGGCATACCGGTACCATTGGCATGCCCTTACGCTACCCCTGGCATACCCTTGCGGTATCCCTGGCATACCCTTGCGGTATCCCTGGCATACCCTTGCGGTACCCCTAGAATAATCTTTTTTTTTTCGAGCTAGAGCAGGCTCGTTTGCCCTGTATACTGGCTGTGATGTTGTAAAGTCTCAGGGTATAAGGGACTTCTTCAATCCCTGTTCATCTCGGTCGTCCCCTACCTCTTGATAATTCTACTTTTATGCTGTACGCTCTCGTTGTTAGCATCATTGGATTCATTCTCATCAAACCGTTTCAGTGTTTTTTTTTTTTTTTCCAATGAATTTAATTATATGTGTTGTTCGAATAGCGCCAGTAATTTCTTCCTTTATCGCATGATCTCTTTTAGTTTTGTTCGCGGTCTTACTCACACATCCCATTTCACAAGTGGTTTAGTTTTCTTTCACGTTGTTTAGATCATGTCCAAGTCTGACCCTGATAGCCCAAGGTTGGTATGAAGATAACAAATACAATAGGTGAAAAAACCACACTGAGACCTATTGGAGTTTCGACGTCGCTTGCTGTTTTACGTTTCACCTCAAAGTTCGTTTTTGTCAGGAAGGTTTGAGGCCCATAATTACATGATCTTTTGTTCGACGATAATAGATCAATAGGGTCTGAGGACAATAGCGCTGCAAGGTGTTACAAGGCGATTTGGTCAACGCTCAACACTCAATGGAAAGGCGCGACGGATATACAATCAGACGATTACTTACTGGTACCATCCGAATCGGAACTCTTCGTTTGCTGTTGAAGATAGGGACGGAGCGCTTATGGAAGTGTCCCGAGTGATATTTTGTCGATTTTTAATTCCACATTATCAACAGATCTAATTAGGGCTAAACACAACATAAAATGTGACCAGAAAACTCAACGAAGAGACTAGAAAAGACGCTGACAAACACCACCAAACCTTTTGACCAAACTCTTTATCAATAGATTATTAAATACAGAACAAAATGTGAATGGAAACTCAACGGACAAGAAAAAAAGGCTTCTAAACAACTATATATGTTGCCGTCTGTTAATTTGTTTCAGTTTAGGTGTTGTCTGTGTTCTGTTTTTCATTTACCTTTTATGTTGTAATCTAGTCATAAAATTAGTTTCCGATTCATAACAAACGGGTCACCCCATAGCTGCTCCACCGCTGTGCCAACGAACAGCACACATACCAATAGCTGCATACGCGAATAGTTTTTATCACATAAGGCAACACCAATGCTTTGTCAACAGACCATTCGCCATTGTCTGAATCTACTGTTGGCAACAGCACATTGGTCACAAGCGAAAACAAAATTACAAATATCGCAGCTCACAGTGTCGCGCTATGCACTCAACGTAGTAGCTGAGCGACAAAACCATATCCTTTCAGTTTATAAATGTAGAAAATACAATTTTCACCATCTGTCAGAAGCAAAAACTTGCGACGACTTAAAAAAACAGTAAATATGCATATCCTCCATTATGACCTGAAGCCATCACTGAATTTTGTCTATGTTGTATTTGATGTTGTGATTAGGCCCCTTATCATGAGCTCGGCTGTTGTTGCTCTCCTTAACGTCAACAATACAGATTGTTTGTTTGTTTGTTTTAGTATCCAGAAGCCATGAGTTGTTAACCCTTAGGCTCGGTATAATGGATATCGCAACCTTTCGGCCTTGATTCCATTGTAAATACCGTAAATCTGGGAGAAAATGTGGCTTTCCTGCCTCCCCCCCCCCCCCCTCCCCCGGGGATTGAACCCGGACCACAAGGAGTTCGTCACCCGGTCTCCGCGCAATCCGGTTTAACCAACTACGCTAGAGAGACGGGCAACAATACAGATATAATTACCCAATCAGGTCGCAATGAAAGTCATTATAACGAGCTAAGGCTATCAGTTGGCCATATGCTGCAGACGATGTAATGAAAACTTGAAATATGGCATCTGTCCACACCTGAAACCAGTATTAAAACACGATGTATGAGCCGAGATCACTTTACACGACAGTCATGTTTATATTTACACAAGGGAATACGTGTTAAGACGTGGAAGACCAAGGGAAACCCTACGTAGAACTATCATCAGGGAAGGCTTGCTCATGGGCCACTCAAACATCCAAGACCTACAACGGATTGCAACGGACCGCCGTGCATGGAGAGTCGCGACCTCTGCCCTATGTGCCGCACTCGACACAAGAGGAAAGACTAACTAACTAATACGTGTTGGGGTGCTTTATTATTATCCTACCCAAAACAGGAGAAATTCCCAGGTCACGGGACAGTCTAATATTTCAGGGGCTGGTAGACTGCATGCAGTCAGGGAGCCTAGGCTGCATGCAGTCGTGGGACCTAGGCTGCACTCTCTCGTGGGACGTAGGTGGGTTGGGGTTAGAGCCAGTTCTAGATGTTTTGAGGTCGTTAATAGCATCAGAAAGCTGGGAAACCCAGTGTTACTACCCTCTAAAATGTTGTACTGTCCTGTGACGTTATCTAGGATAGGATATCATTAAAGCACCAGTGTTGAGTATAAATATGCAGCTTCTTAGTGCAAAAGTCCAGACATGAGTCGTGGACTATGATGTATCAGTCGGTGAAGAAAAGACGTCGGAGATTTTTCAGGTTCAGTGTTACAAGAGAATTACGATAATACCCTCGACCAAAAAGCAGGGGGGAAATATGTAAGATTCTTCAGTATCCTAACTGGCAGCCTCTGTTATGTAGCAGCTAGACACACGCCTGCGGATCTAAAGTTCGTGGGTTCAAGCCCGCATCGCGCTGGTTTTCTTTTTTTTTTTTCCAAACATGACTTTGACTCTCAGGTAGACCTAGTCTTAAATAGGCACAGGCAAATTCCTTGGAAGTAAAGGCGGTCGGCGTGATGTTGACCACAACACCTATCGAGGCCCATACAAGTATTAGTATAACCTCATATGCCCGCTGCGCCACTGGTATGTATAGGGACCTTTGCTTTACAATCTGACGATCGAGGGAGATGGGGAAAAGAAGGAGACGGGGGTGGGGGGGCAGTCTCATATGCATTATCAGTTGTTAAAAACTAAAAACTTTCGACCATGGTGATTTGAAGAGAACAGTAGTTATGGGAGAAAGGGGGAGGGGGCATCATTCTTGGCAGGTATGGTCGGGGATGACAAGCAGACACAGGTGACAAAATATGAAGGACACTGATTCATTATATTATTGTACCCATTTTATGTCACAGAAGGTCGGCAGCCTATTCCTCTATTCTGTTTTATCCTGTGCAAGCAATTTGACTATCATAGATGGAATCCGGCCTAGCAGCTTTGGTCTCTCTCATCAGCGTACGTTTTAAGGTGTATGTTTTTTGTGTTTTTTTTTTTCCTTCCCTCCTTAATCCCTTTATTTCCAATTTCACTGCCTGTTTGGAGATTCTGTGCTAACTTCTTCTCATGATGTGTTCAATGTAGTGTCATTTTCTCCGTCTTGTAACTTTTGATACTAGTGATTGTCCAGATATTTCTGGTGTTTTTTTTTTTTTTTTTTAAATTCATCTCATTTTTTTTCCATCAATTTCCTTAGTCATTTGTTTTCGAATGCATTTAACTTTCGTTCCATGTCTCAAGTGGTTCTCCAATTTTCACTGACATATGTTAAAAATAAAAAATACACTAGAACTCAAAATTGCTTAACTTGGTAACTGCTATTATTTCCACTAAAACATAAGCGGTTATAAAATATACTATAACTATTCTATAACTACAATAAATAAACAATACAACAGTTACGAAATTTTTAATAATGAATACTGCTACAACAACTACTACTAATGCTACTATTAGAATTGCTACTACAGTTACTACTATTTGTACTACTATGACAACAACAGCTACTACAGTAGCCGCAGCAGCGTAGTAGCTAGACTTTCACCTTCCTGTCTGGTGATTTACATTCGTACTGGGGTGATGTCGAAAAAAGTTACCTTGGCTCCCAGGTAGACATAAGGGGCATAAGAAAATGTTCGTGGAAGTAAAGACGACTGGTGTGATATTTTCTATAACACCCACCTAGCATCGATTAGTCTATAAACATGTGAGTCTAGAATCATATGCCTGTGTATCACTGGCGTAAAAAAGGGGGTACTTTTTTTTTTTTAAATCACTGCGATCGGTAGATTAAAACAGCTACTACAATTGCAACATGCGGACTCTTTATTCTGCTAGATTTACCTGTAAGGTAAAAATGCGACTCGTGTCAGGTATGAGATAGAACAAAATTCCGTCCACAGATCCATCCAGCATTAGTCCTCTTATCAGAAATACGATGAAGATGGTACATGGAAGAGCCAGTGACCACAGAAAATACTGGGGCACGGTCCAATATGAAAAATACAAATAAAGAGTAAAAACACAGTCGTATTTTCTGTCATAAATTAGAAATACAGAAATTTGAATACGATGTTGACTGAATCCAGTCATCTTCTTCTTTTTGTCTTTTATTCCCCCGTGGAGCATATGCCCCCAACCAACTCAAGCTAAGTCGTTCTATCCTTCACTACTGCATGCAGCTCTCCCTGTGATCTCTCTCTCTTGTAACTTTACTCTCTAGCTCCTTTCTCCATGTGTTTTTTCTCTTCCTTTATTTCTATGTTCATGTGAGTTCCAGTGGAAAGTATTCTAATTATATTGTTCTTGTGTTTTCTCAACGTGTGCCCTATCCAACGCCAGCATCTTTTCTTTACCTATTGGTCCTCTGAAACTTGTTTAATTCTCTCTCACAGCTCAACATTAGTGATTTTATAATAACGTTTAATTCTATACATTCTGCACAGGCACCAGTTAATAAATGTTTGGAGTTTGTTAGTAATTGCCATAGCCGTTCTCGAATGTTTTTGCTCCAAACAACAGTAATGATTTGACATTGAAATTAAAAATTTTAAGTAAAGTTTTAAACTCTTTTTTGACCGCACCAAATTTCCTAGTGCTATAAAAGTTCTTCTTGCCATTTAGGTTCGTACTTTAATATCTCTGTCAGTCCCCAATCTTTATCTACAGTATTGAAACCAGCCACACAGCTTAGTAAACAGTTGCCTAGTTGACCATGTATCTTAGTGCACTTGTATTCATGGCGAGGCGCAGACGCCGTCTGGAGGTGACAGGTTCAATTCCCGGCACGGTAACTATAGCTTTCGATTTTTATATTGTCTAGTGTGTTCTTCTATCTTTCTACTTCTTTCTATGAGTGCCGTTCACAATACTTTCTGTTACTTGATTAATTCTTAGTAAACAGAAATAAATGAGATTTGGTTGGCCACCCAACGAGAATGCCCTGGTACCAACTGACCCAGAAAGCCGCACTGAAGAAGTATAATGTACACAGAGAAAGGAAAAACAAGCAGAAATGAAGAACAACGAATACAACGCTTCAAAGAAAGGACGGGAGTCACCGTGGCAGAATGGCTAGACGCTCGCCGCGGATCTGAAAGTCGTGGGTTCGCTCCATGGCGGAACCGGACTTTTTAAAAAATGACCTTGGCTCTCAGGTCGACCCAGCCTTGAGTGGGTACCGGGTGCAGTCCCGGGAAGTAAAGGCGGCCGGCGTGATGCTGACTACATCACCCATCTTGGTCTATAAAATATAGGTCTAGCCCTATATGCCCTATACACCTATAGGCGTTGAAAAGGGTCCTTTACTATTTACTTTACTTTTAAAGAAAGGACACAGAAGATACCTACATCTGCCATTAATACTTGGCTGTAACTTAAGGAAGTAAAGAAGAAGACATTTTTACTTGGTTATTAGGGTATACAAAGAAGAAGATCGTCTTTTACGCCTTCAAGCGTATTTGGCATATAGGGCTAGACCTAAATTTTATAGATTCATTGTCCCTTGGTGAATGATGGGGTCAACACTACGCCGGCCGCCTTTACTTTGCATAATTGTACTTGGTACTTATTTCAGAAATAGCATGCCACCACTGTGCTATCAGTGCCCGACTTGGACAATATCAAAGGCTAATCTACAAAAAATTGTGGGTGCGTGGTTTCGAGGTATAACGTCCGCCTCGAGTGCTGGACCAGGAGAAATTACTAGAAGTCCACGTGAAAAAAATCCCTGCCTCTTATGCGGCTTGAGCCCGAGATCCCCATCACTCGAATCGGATGCCATACCTAGAGACCACTCAGCTCCCCGATTTCTGTTACATGATATGCCAAGGATCCTTCGAAAATATTTTAGGTCAAATTTGTGTATTCTGCTTTTAAGGTTGGATGTGAAGGTGCATATTCCATAGCCTGCATTCCTTTGGTCACACAAGGCTATGCATTAGACAACCTTTGCAGACATGTGAATAGGAAGTATGGTCAAGGCAGATATACTGAATGCGCTGCGTTCTAGAGACTTTGAGACGAACGAGTCATAAGCAAGGTGCTTTATTAATACCCAACCCAAAACAGGGAAAATCCACAGGTCACAGGACCTAGGCTGCATGCAGTCGTGGGATCTAGGCTGCACTCTTTCGTTTGACGTACGTGGGTTAGGGTTAAGGCCAGTTGTAGATGTTTTGGGGTCGTTGAAAGCATCAGATGGTCGGAAAACCCAGTCTGGCCACCTTCTAAAATGTTGGACGTGTCTGTGACGTCATCTGGGTAGGATATTAATAAAGAGCCAGAGACAATGTGCCGCCTGTTGGGAACTGGTATTGAAGAAAGGCAAGCATGCAGAAACGGGTTGCAGGGCACAGAAAGAAGATATGCCAAACAACTCAATACACTTGAGCATGTAGAATCTGAGGTATTTGAGGACGGAGCACGACTGGGTCGGACCGATATCTTAGATGTTGATAAGGACAACGAGTAACAAGTAACTTCTTCTTCTTCTTCGCCTTCACCAGCTGTAAACTCTGGCGGAAAGTTCTGGTTCTAAATCCACTTCTTTCAGAACGTGAGTGTTATGTGTGCATCCGTTTTATAGATCTGACTCATTTGTATGCAGACTGCTGATTCTTTGCGTCTCAGGCAGATGCAATCCGACTTTGAAGGAAGCTCCCAATTAGTCGACTCTTACGACACGTTTTTGGGTAAGCAACGGGTCTATTCTTGTTTTCCGCACAATAGGGCCCCAGAACACACAAGTAACAAGACCTGTGCATTCATGTGATAAGACATTTACACTACAAGTTACAAGTCTACTAAAAGTACAACCTTTGCAGATACATTGATTCCCTTTACCAGAAGCAGCCACACAATTACCCAGGTTAGCAAGAGGGTCAGGACAATGGGTGGGCGAACCTCCCCTAGGCTAGAGATATCGTGGACTCCATCGTTTCCTAAGACCACACGGCTGTAACATGAAAAAGATACGGTATACACATGATCGTAGCCATATATTGCTAGCCAACACTGTGTTACATGTTCGTCTATGTTCGTGAATGTATTTGAGTCTTTGTCTCTGTACGTTATTGTTTGCAAGTGTGTTGATGTGTCTGTTTGCTGATACAGTGGTACGTCCTTAATCCGTGCCAGATCCAAGGACTTATACCAAACAAGACGTGCACGAAACAAGTTTCTCCATGCGAAATACAGAGATAACGATTAATCCGTTCCCATGGAAGGAGGGAAAATATGTATTCTTGCTGTCATTTTATACACTGATGTGGTGATATAAAATAATCTATTTACTGCTTAAGAATAAAATACATAAATACAAAACAAAAAAGGAGAAGTGGGTAAAAATGTAAGCCCTCTTTATTTTGCTAACAAGAATCGAATGCCTACTTGGATATTGCTAAGACGGGAGAATGATATTAGGTTAGTGTTTGGAAGGAGAGCCCTTCCAGAAGAAACTTCAGGAGTAGAAATTGCGATGAGTCTTTTTTCTGAGAGAAAGAGAGAGGGAGAGGGAGAGAGAGAGAGAGAGAGAGAGAGAGAGAGAGAGAGAGAGAGAGAGAGAGAGAGAGAGAGAGAGAGAGAGAGAAGGGAGAGGGGTTACCGCGCGGTGTCGTTACTCTTATTTTGACTCATACAAGTTTTAGCACACGAGTCGTATTCCAAACAAGGCTGGTATATCAAGCACACGTTTTCGCTACTTAACAGGACGTATACCAAGTTTTTTTTTTTAAAAAAGTGGACACATACCGAACTACTACTTTTTATCTTCATAACTCGGCCAGTCAAATACTACATAAGGATGTATGTAAACAGGATCTGAAAGCCCTTGGCATTAATGCACAGACAATGGGAGAGAGCTGCAGCAGCCACGTATTCATAGAGAAGATATGTTGTACGGCATGGAATGGTGCTCTTTGAGCCCAGCCTGATCCAAAACACTGAGAACAAGAGGAACACATGTAATATATATATGCAGTAAACTGCGGCAAGACCTGCCTCATTTTACAGATGCAGAAATTGTGATGGAGATTGCCAGTCTCGCATAGGACTATTTAGACACCAGCGATACAGCTCAACTGCCACACGGGACTACTACAACAACTACTATTATACTACTGCTACTACTACTACTACTACTACTACTACTACTACTACTACTACTACTACTACTACTACTACTACTACTACTACTACTACTACTACTACTACTACTACTACTACTACTACTTCTACTGCTACTACTACCACTACTACTACTAACTACTACTATGACTGCTACAATAACTACTACTACAGTACTACTAATACTACTTCTACTACTGCGGTATGCAAGTATATATGTACGTGTTCAAATAATAACACGCGAGTGCACCTAAGAACGTCTGTCGGTGTGTGGGTGTATCAGTGTGCTCACATGTTTTTCAAGTTGTTTGTTTGTGCACTGTGAAATTTAAAACACGCCGGCGCGAACATACGAATGTACGCTCATATACAACCGTTGGTTGACAACTTTTTATTTTTCCAAACGATAATGTTGTATATTCGCCACTGGGTATTAGGGGAGGCTTGGGAATCATAGCACATAAAGACCGAATGTATGACTGGGAAGATCAGTCCACGATAAGAAACTTCTTTGACAATATGTCTGCGGGAATTCAAGACTATGGTTGTCATCGCACACAGTTCACGTGTTTCTTCTCAAACGTTTAGCAATTACCTATCTGAGGTCACTTTATTGTCTGTCCTTACTACCTTGTCGGCTCTGTGGCTAAGTCGATGCGAACGCTTCGTAATGCAGGGGTGCCGGGGCATGCGCCTTGCGTTGGTTTCGACAATGGTATCAGGGGACCGACCGTCCAGTTAGCAATGGCAAGCTACTGGACGTAAATTTGCCTAGAGAAATTACACAACAGCCAGGGGATGCTGGGGTTGGCTCTGCAACGTCCTGTAAAGGATACTCAACTTACCTAACCTTACTGCATTCCCGATTTTCCATCTCCATACAAGACTATCCCTAACGTCCTTTTTCTATTAATCCACCCTAAGATATTAGACGGCTATCCTCCGAATAACGGTCCCAAATTATGGGGGCTTAAAAAAAAGCGGTCCTCAATCATATGTAAACTGCGGACTTCTTTCCGGCGAATATAGCGCATACCGCGGGAAACACTCCTCCGATTAACGGTCCAAAATCATCGAGGCTGCCAACAGCTTTGACACTGAGTGCTAGGTTTAACTTCTCCCCTGGGTCCTAGGTTTAACTTCTCACCTGGGTCCTAGGTTTAACTTCTCCCCTTGGTCCTAAGTTAAGCTTCTCCCCTGGGTCCTGGGTTTAGCTTCTCCCCTGGGTCCTAGGTTTAGCTTCTCCCCTGGGTCCTAGGTTTAGCTTCCCCCCTGGGTCCTAGGTTTAGCTTCTCCCATGGGTCCTAGGTTTAGCTTCTCCCATGGGTCCTAGGTTTACATTCTCCCTTGGGTTCTAGGTTTAGCTTCTCCCATGAGTCCTAGGCTTAGTTTCTCCCCTGGGTCCTAGGTTTACATTCTCCCTTGGGTTCTAGGTTTAGCTTCTCCACTGGGTCCTAGGTTTAGCTTCTTCCCTGGATCCTAGGTTTAGGGTTAGGGTTAGGGCCAGGAGTATTGCAATTACGACACCGTCACGAGAATCTGTCACAACAGTGGAACCATGATCCTATCGATTGAAGGGTTATGGATGAAACTTACGCGGAGGTGATGTTACCACGGCGGCACTAGTCGCAAGTTGTTTACTGAATATTTAGCGCAGTTTCCAGCGGCACTGTCACAAACATTGAGGCCCTGAGGTTTTTTTTTTTTTTTTTTAGTCTCCATAATTTGGGGCCGTTATTCGAAGGATAGCCTATCAGACTTGTCTCACTAGCACACATTTTTATATCTTAGTAAGTTCCCGACCATGATATCTTTTACCCATCTGTAAGCCAAACAAAAAAGATGGTATTCTTGTTTTTTTTTCTTCTGACTTCGATACCCCACTGGAGCAAAGACCCTCGACCAACTCACGTCAAGTCGTTCTGCACTTTACCATTGCATGCAGCTCACGCCATGTCATCGGCACCTTATTTTGACTTCACTGACTACCCATTAAGAGATTATATTTTGGGAAGACATGTTCTAGGAGTAATGAATGACAATGGAGAATTATTCACAAATTGCTGTGCAGGAAACCAGAATATTATTGGTGGAAGTAATTTTCCCCATAAAAGAATACATAAGGCAACATGTGAATCACCGGACCATAAGACAACCGATCAAATTGATCACTTATGTATTAATACAAAAATTTCAGATCATGCCTTTATGATGTTAGGGTTTTTAGAGGTGCCGATGTCTACTGACCATTTTATGTTGGTAAAATCAAGTTGGAACTTAAAAGATACATAACATCTTATATTTATAGAAACCAGAATAATGTAGGTTATCTCAGGGATAAAGAAGTTCAGTAACAATTTTCAGTAACAGTCTCTACTAAGTACCAAGTGTTGCAGGCGTTAGCTGAAGATGTAAGCATTGAAGTCTGCTGGGATCAGATCAAGAAAATCTGGAATAAATCTTGTGTAGAAGTTCTTGGTAAGAAAGAACGGAAATATAAAGAGTGGAAAACACCAGAAACCATTAAATTGATTGAAGAAAGGAAGAGTAAAAAGGTAGACTTAAACAATAGCGAAACTAGAGTTTCTAAAGCTGGAGCTCAGGATAAATTCACAGAAACCAAGGACGTTAGGAGGCGTATAAGGGCAGATAAAATAAAATATATAAATATCTAGACTAAGGAGCGGAGTCAGCCAACTGAATCAATCAAAAATAGTCAAGGAAAGGTACTTACTAACACTAAAGATCAAATGGACAGATGAGCTGAATATTTTTAAAAACTTCTAAACACACCAGGCCCTGAGGTTCCTCCAGATAATCAGCCTTTGGAAATGGATCTGGATATCAACTGTGAGATACCAAATAAAGAGAAATGTATAAAAGTTGTCAATCTTCTAAAGAAAAGAAAGGCGACAGGTCTAAATGGTATCCCGACAGAAGCTATTAGCGCCAACATAAAAACATCAACGGATTTCCTACATAGATTATTTAGTTAAGTCTCGGAGACCAAAGAAATACCAGCAGACTGGAGTGAAGGATATCTTGTGAAACAGCCGAAAAAAAAGGTGATCTACAGGAGTGTGAAAACTATAGAGGAATCATGTTGCTGTCAGTTCTTGGAAAATATTAAGTATCATTATTTTGGAAAGATTAATAGATGCCATGTAAAAAAAAGCTAAGAGCTGAACAGGCAGGTTTTCAGCCAAACAGATCCTGTACTGATCAGATAGCCACACTACGTATAATAATAGAGCAGAGAATTGAATTGAATTGAACTCACCACTTTACATTGGATTTATAGACTATGAAAAAGCATTTGATAGCATTGATAGGGAATCTCTCTGGAAGTTTGATGGGGCACCACAGAAAATTATTAAATTAGTAAAGGCAACATATAGATACACGAAATGTCGAGTTCCTTAAGAGGGAAAGCTATCACATACATTTATAAATAAAAACAAGTGTGCGACAGGGATGTCTTTTGTCGCCTGTCCTATTTTTACTGGCAATAGACTGGTTTATAAAGACAGTAACTGCTTAGACCAAGAATGGAATTCAGGGGGCCCTAAAAAAAAATTTATTGATGATCTGCACTTTGCTAATGATATTTCTTTTCCGTCCCCTTTAAGGAATCAGATGCAAGATAAATTAAATATACTTGATGCGAAATCACAGCAGCTTGGTCTGAAAAGCCATAAAGGTCTGACAAAGCTAATGAGAATAAATCAGGCAAATATTAATGTGGTTTCTCTTCATGGCACCCCACTCTAAGACATGGAGTCGTACACGTATTTGGGCAGTAATGTAGATACAGATGGGGGGAACTGATAAAGATATTAAAATAGGAATACAAAAAGCAAGAGGAGCTTTCACAGCATTAGGAAATTTGGGGCAGTCAAAAGAAATACTAAACTTAAAATTTTCAATTCTCAAGTCAAATCAGTACATTTGTATGAAGCGGAAACACAGAGAACAATTTAGGCAATTACTAATAAACTACAAACATTCATTAACTGGTTCCGGCGCAGAATAGAGGGAATTAAATGGTATAATATAATCACTAATGTAGAGTTTTGGAAGATAACTAAGCATGCTCCAGTGGACCAAGAGATGAGGAAAAGACGCGGGCGTTGGATAGGACACACATTGAGAAAACCGGAGAACAGTATAACTAGAATGTTTTTTGCACTGGAACCTACAGGGGCATAGGAATAAAGAAAGGCCACACAAAAAACATGGAGAAGAGAGCTGGAGAATGAAGTTAGAAAGATGGGGAGGACATAAGGAGAGCTCCATGCGACAGCAAAAGACAGAACATTAGTTTGCTGAGCGCTTATGCTCCATTTGGAGTTGGAAAGGCAGAAGAAGAAAAGCTACCTCCTCTGTGTGTTTTTGGTCTACCCTCATTTCTATGCCCCTGTCTATTCATATTTACCTATGTGTATTAGTTCCCCTATCTGTATCTACAATACTACCCAAAATGGAGTGTGACCCCTATCTTGGAATGAGATATTTAAAAAATAAACCACATTACTATTTGCTTGGTTTATTCTCATTATCTTTGCCTTTCCATTATGGATTTTCAGACCTACCTGTTGTGGTCTCGAATTAATTATGTTTACTTTATCTTGCATCTGATTCCGTGAGTGAGTAATTTAAAAAAAAAAAGGATGTCGTTGCGAACGATAATCTTCTCAATCTTCTGTTGTGTTCTAGAAGTGTACATATGCACTACATATTGCAAACGAGGACATTGTACAGCTAATATATTGTACGAACATTGCAAAGAATGTAATCTCTGCTAGTTGACCAGAAATTAGTACTTATGAACCCACTCCATAGAAAAGCGTACTGCTCTGTAATCGTTTGGTGCTCAGTATTACTGTTTTACATCCAAGGAGGACTCATTGAGTCACAGTGTGTCAATACTTTACTTCAATTATAGACGTCAAAGCCTCGTAATTAGGCCCTGTCCACAAATCTAGTTCTTAAAGTGTTGGCTATGTTGTCTGCCCATACTTCTTCCGCGTGAATGGAGTGCCTTACTTGAGAGTACCTTTACACATGCAATTTTCCTTTATCTTCTTCTTCTTCATAATCATAATCATCATCTTCTCTGTTCACTGCTGTAAGCTAAGGCGGACAATCCTGGTTGTGTGTCTATTTAGACTTTGTCTTTGTGTCAGGCCTGAGTTTTGCAGGTACAATCGTTCTACAAGCTTATTTGTGTACAGTTGGCTTTTCATTGTCGCTCGGGCAGATGCACTCCGGCTTCGAAAGAAGTCCCAAATTAGTCGACACTCACGACATACTTTTTAGGCAGGCAGTAGGTCTTTTTTTTTAAATCCCCTTCACCCCCCTTTTTTTTTTAAACAGTGCGGCCCCGGAACCCACGCTAAGAAAACCTCATAATGAGTCAGGAACGTGTGTGTGTGGAGAGAGAGAGAGAGAGAGAGAGAGAGAGAGAGAGAGAGAGAGAGAGAGAGATGAGAGAGAAAGAGAGAGTAACTAATAATTATGGTTTACAGTTCTTTTTCTTTTTCTTTTTAAACTTTTTTTTTTTCAAAGATCACCCTGCCCAAAATGGGTGCCAGGTAATGTCTTAGGCAGTAGAGACAGTCAGCCAGACGTTTATCTCATCATTCAACAAGTACCAGTGAGTCTAGCCAAATATAAGTCTAACTCAATATGTCCACAGTGCTGAAGCTATATGACATATCCTTTTTTGCCCAATGCGTCAAAGGGTTCTTTCACCTTCCTAATAATTACCAACATCACAATAGTTACGGAACCAGCTGGCAGCCTCTTACTCAAAGTATTCTTCAGCAGCGTTGGAGCGATGAAGGCCACTACTGATGGCAATCACGACGTCCCACACCAAAACTTGTTTGGGGTTATCGTGAAATAAACACAGCCCGCTGGCGTCGGCTGTTCCGTTTCGTAACATACACTCGTACTGGTCCACCTCTTTAACATTGTCCACGCAATCTGCAACACAGGAGCTACGATTAACAAACCAATCGCTCGGTGGGCCTGTAGTGTTTTCGTTTATATATTCTTGTGCGTTTACCAATTGTGAACTTCAGCAGAAAGTTCTAGTTTTAAGACCCTTCCGGAATTTAGTCTTGCTCCAGAACTTCAGTTTTGCGTGCACGTCCGTTTTACAGATAATGCTTTTTGTTTTGCAGACTATTTGTCCTTGCTTTTAAGGTGGATGCGTTCCGACTTCGAAGGATATCTCTAATTAGTCAACTGTTGTGCTTGTAAGGGGGCAGTGAGTCTATTCTAGTCCCCCCCCCCCTTCCCTCCCCACGTCCCACCCACTCTCCCCCACAATGGGAAATTTGTTTATCTATGATTTAAAATGAGGCTTACACAAACGTTTTCATACTGGTTTGGCTTTTGCGGCTAAAAAGTTGCACTTTTTTCGTCAGTCACAAGTGACAAGGACCGCCCTACCTTTTATCCGTCATGAAACTATAGCTGAGTTCTGTGAGTCCGGAGGTGACCTATAAGCCCAATACGGGAGGGATCTAGGACAATGAGGGCAGGGTTAAATGCTTACTGGATGATGAAACATCTCCAAAACAACCAAATTACTGCTTCTCTCTTGCGATATGCCAGGCAGGACTTGAGGTGTGCTATATGCAAATTATAAGAAACAAGGCGAAATTGTACAATTTTGCTAACGATGAAAGAACCAGTGGTGAAAAGGAGGGGGGGGGGGCAAAGGCTAAAGCAAAATTACAATGAAGAAATACGACATTGCCTACTTGGTGTGAGATACAAAGATTTGTTTGTGTCCCTCAAGTTTGTCTCTTCACAATGTATCTCCACAATTGCAGGCTATATGAATTTGTTTGTGTCTCCACAATCGTATGCCATATGTATTTGTTTGTGTCTCTACAATCGCATGACACATGTATTTGTTTGTGTCTCTATGATCGTATAAAATATGTATTTGTTTGTGTCTACACAATAGTATGCCATATGTATTTGTTTGTGTCTCCACAATCGTATGACACATGTATTTGTTTGTGTCTCTATGATCGTATAAAATATGTATTTGTTTGTGTCTCCACAATCGTATGACACCTGTATTTGTTTGTGTCTCCACAATCGTATGACACCAGTATTTGTTTGTGTCTCTATGATTGTATAAAATATGTACTTGTTTGTGTCTCCATAATCGTATGACACATGTATTTGTTTGTGTCTCTATGATCGTATGAAATATGTATTTATTTGTGTCTCCACAATCGTATAAAATATGTATTTGTTTGTGTCTCTATGATCGTGTAAAATATGTATTTGTTTGTGTCTCTACAATCGTATGACACATGTATTTGTTTGTGTCTCCATAATCGTATAACACATGTATTTGTTTGTGTCTCTATGATCGTATAAAATATGTATTTGTTTGTGTCTCTATGATCGTATAAAATATGTGTTTGTTTGTGTCTCTACAATCGTATGACACATGTATTTGTTTGTGTCTCCACAATCGTATGACACATGTATTTGTTTGTGTCTCCATAATCGTATAACACATGTATTTGTTTGTGTCTCTATGATCGTATAAAATATGTATTTGTTTGTGTCTCCACAATCGTATGACACATGTATTTGTTTGTGTCTCCACAATCGTATGACACATGTATTTGTTTGTGTCTCCACAATCGTATGACACATGTATTTGTTTGTGTCTCCACCATCGTATGACACATGTATTTGTTTGTGTCTCCACAATCGTATGACACATGTATTTGTTTGTGTCTCCACAATCGTATGACACCAGTATTTGTTTGTGTCTCCATAATCGTATAAAATATGTATTTCTTTGTGTCTCTACAATCGTATGACACATGTATTTGTTTGTGTCACCACAATCGTATGACATATGTATTTGTTTGTGTCTCTATGATCGTGTAAAATATGTATTTCTTTGTGTCTCTACAATCGTATGACACATGTATTTGTTTGTGTCTCTATGATCGTATAAAATATGTATTTCTTTGTGTCTCTACAATCGTATAACATGTATTTGTTTGTGTCACCACAATCGTATGACATATGTATTTGTTTGTGTCTCTATGATCGTGTAAAATATGTATTTGTTTGTGTTTCCACAATCGTATGACACATGTATTTGTTTGTGTCTCTATGATCGTATAAAATATGCATTTCTTTGTGTCTCTACAATCGTATGACACATGTATTTGTTTGTGTCTCTACAATCGTATGACGCATGAATTTGTTTGTGTCTCTATGATGGTATAAAATATGTATTTCTGTTTGTCTCTACAATCGTCGTACAAGGTTTGACAATTAAGTATTAAGACTGATTTTATTATGGCCAAGACGAAAATGCCATCTATGAATCAAAGCATGGAATCCAAAGAGGCAACTTTCGTCTATAATCTGGCAATTTTTTATCGCCGCCCGGTAAGCAGACAACAAACAAGCCGCTTTTATGTTAACCTAAACAGAGATGCAGTGTTACGTAATCATCATAAAGCAAAAAAGATAAAATTAAATTCTGTTTAAAACTCAGAAAAAGCGCCACTGAGACAGTTTAATTGATGAGAAAAGTTTATGGGGATAATTGTTTATTTTGTGCACAGATTTTCAGCTGGTATTAACGATTCAATAGTGGTTTGGAATTATTACTTATGCAACTAGATCTGGAATCACCAAATTCTGTTCGTAATGAGGAACTCATTGCGATATTACTAGAACTGATATAGGAAGATCGTTGTTTGACTGTGAGGATGGTGGTAATAAATCGATAAAATGATGGTTTCAAAACAGAGACTTTTCGTAAATTTTAGTGGAAGATTTGGGAAAGAAACAAAGTTGCTTGTCAATTTGTATTCAACACCTGGCAATTGTTTTCCTTCGTCGTGAAAATGCACCAGCTCAGAGAACTGTAGTTGTACAGGAATTGTTGGCCTAAAAACAGATGCATGCTCTTAACCATCCACCCTATTCCCCAGATTTGTCTTCCTGTGACTGTTTTCTATTCCCAAATTTAAAGTTACCATCGAAAGGATGCTTATTTGACAACAATGATGTCACCCAAAGTGCCGTAACATCGACTTTAAGGGCTTTAACGAAAGAAGCACTACAGTGATTGTTCCAGTCTTTGTTAGATTGTGCCACTCGCTGTATCAGTGCAAAAGAGGCTTACTTTGAATTAAATACAGGTTTTATCTTCAACTTTTTGATTATTTTAATTTTTATGGAAATTGTCTCATTACTTAACTGTCGGGCCTTGTATGACATATGTATTTGTTTGTGTCTCGATGATCGTATGAAATATGTATCTGTTTGTGTCTGCATTGTTGATCCTTACGCAATAATGAGTTCCCGTACTTTTTAGGATACAATTTGTCGTTACTTGAAGCCCTACTCTGCCTCATTCCAGGGGAAGCAATATAGGCTGGCCATGAATATGGCCTAATGGCTGAACGCGGTTTCTGGGACCTCTCCACGGTGATCCTCTTCCACATGATGGCACATTGGGTCACTGAGTGTTTATCGCTAGTGTGATGTCCTGGTGGGGTAGAGAGTCAGTCAGTCAATCCCTACCAATGGCTAATATATATTCCGTCATCCCCTTGTGGGATGCAATTTTTTGTTACTTGAAGTCCTATTCTGCCATGCCATGGGCCGCAATTTTGAACAAAATGGGTGAAAGCCAAAAAGATGCCCATGATGGGAAAACAAGCCTGCTGGATGTCAAAACAGGAAAGCATGGAAAGTCCTCTCTGAAGCCTCCTGTGCCACTAGGCATAACGAGAACTGGTGATGATGATGGGCCGCAATATAGCCCGGCCATAAATAAGGTCTAATTTTATTACTTCCCGTCTATTTTAGGATGAAATTTTTCGTTATTTGAAGCCCTACTCAGGCAATATAGCTTGGCTATAAATATGGCCTAAAGGCTGAACGCGGTTTCTGGGACCTCTCCACTGTGATCCTCACCCACATGGTGGCACATTGTGTCATCGGGCGTTTATCGCTTGTGTGATATCCTGGTGGGGTAAAGGAATATAGAGATAAATTCTTGCCCCTTGGGGAATGCAGTTTTTCGTTTATTTGAAGCCCTACCCCAGCTCTTGCCAGGGGCCGCAATATAGCCCGGCCATAAATATGGTGTAATGGCTGAACGCGGTTTCTGGGACCTCTCTACGGGTGATCCTCATCCGCATGGTGGCACCTTGTCTCATATGGTGTTTATCTCTTGTGTGATGTCCTAGTGAGATAAAATATACTACTACTACATATGTATATGTTTGTGTCTCCACAATCGTATGTCATATGTATTTGTTTGTGTCTCTACAATCGTATGACATGAATTTGTGTCTCTATGATCATATTCTTCTTCTTCTTCTGCGTTCATCAGAAGATGTAATTGCGTTGTGTCCGTTTACAGCATGCCTGCGATATTTGCACCTTTCGGCCAACACATCCGACTTCTGCGGGCATGTGTTGACCGCCTTCCCGGTCTATAATCATATGAAATATGTTTTTTATTTACATCCCTAAAACCATACGAGAAATGTATTTGTTACTAGCTGTACCCGGCCACGCGTTGCTGTGGCATAGTTTGGCTAAATGGAATGAAAGAAAATAGAAATCGCACGTGTCTAATACAATCATTGTCTGCTCAGATAAGAAATAGTCTTTGATCTCCACCCCACCCCCAACCCACAACTAAATCCACCTACTACCCTCTCCCTCATCAAAGGTTTTTGGAAAAGAAAGACAATGGAAATCGCACCTGTCTAATATAGTTAATTTCGCAATCATTCTCTGCCCATTTATATAGAGATAGTCTGGTTTTCCAACTTTAGAACACGCACCATATAATTGTGTCTTTATATTAGTGGTCGTCTAAATGGTGCTATTAGCACGGTAACAAAAGTGGTTATTTGGTTATCTCATGCTAAAGCTGTTTGTATTTTTATAGGAGACGGAAGTAA